GCAGCACAACTGTTTTCAGCATTGCCCTAATAATCAGAAATGTTTCTTGAGCAGCAAATATTAGTATAATTTCTGAAGATCATGTGACACTGAAGACTGGAGTAATGATGCTGAAAATACAGCTGCGCATCAGAAATAAATTACAGTTTAACAGATATTCACATAGAAAACTGCTGATTTACATTAGAATATTATTTCAGAATTTTTACAGTATTTATGTACTGGAATCTGAGGGTGCAAAGAAATCTAAATATTGAGAAAATCATCTTTAAAGTTGTCCAAATGAAGTTCTTAGCAATGCATATTACCAATCAAAGATTAAGTTTTGATATATTTACAGTAGGAAATTTACAAAATATCTTCATGGAACATGATCTTTACTTAATATCCTAATGATTTTTGGCATAAAAGAAAAATCAATAATTTTGACCCATACAATGTATTGTAGGCTATTGCTACAAATATACCCCAGCGACTTAAGACTAGTTTTGTGCTGCAGGCTCACATATTATAAGCATCCTGTATAGGGCTGTGCGATATGGACAAAAAAAAACCTATCGCGATTTCTTTGATCAATTTTGTATTTTCGATTTTAATCACGATTTTGACACACACAGACATGCTTTACAGTCATTGATGCATTCAGTGTGAATTTGAAACGTATTTCCAAAAGAAAACCAATTAGAGCTTTATAAAAAAGCTGTAACATGTCTCTAGAACAGACATATGGCAGAAAGAAAAAAAAATCCCTCGTTGCCTCAGATGTTGAACTAGATTTGTTGCGCCAAGTTCACACGTACTCCGTCTGCAGTGTAGGCTTGCTGCGATAGACGTGTTTTCGGTTATACCGATGTTAAGCTGCAACACCGGTTACGTCATTTGCACCGGCCCCCCACCATCGTTTTGATTTATTTATAGTAACAAAAATAATTTAGCCTAGTTCAGTTAGAGGACAGACACTTTTAAAAACGAAACGCTCAATGCAGCGTGCCGAAGCGTGCGTGAACGACGGAGCACCACGGAGCAGTGTTTTTATTTATCACATGAGGAGAGTGAGTCGAGCTGACTGACGAGAGTGAGCTGAGACAGACAAGACGATGCCGGAAGACTGTTTAGAAAGGAAATGCAAAGGCGCCTGTTTGGCAATATTTTAGATTTTTGAAAAGCCTGTTGACTGGAACATTCGTTTTTTATTTATTTGGCTCCACAGTGTTTTGCAGATTTTCAGTTTTATATACCCAAGTAATGTGTTATTTTATTAGGCATATATGGTGTATTTTTATTCGTTTTGTTCATAAAAGTTCTGAGTTTGACGTTGTTGTTGCTTGAGCCGAATTGGAATTTGAAAGTGAAAGTAAAACGCGCACGGCACTTTTACAAGCCGTTTGAAAGCGAAGAAAAGAGGGAAACTCAAACGAACAATTGCTTGACGCCGAATTGCAATTGCCGCTAATTTGAAAGTGAAAGTAAAATGCGCACAGCACTTTTACAAGCCATTTGAAAGCGAAGAGGGAAACTCAAACGAACTAACACCCACCTACCCCCGCGGTGATACCGGTATTAACACGTCGATTAACCGCTGGGAAAATTTCCTCACCGTCACAACCCTATTACAGTATGTGTATGCGGTGCAGAAGCAGCACGGACTCATTTTACTTTCGCACAGGATGCGTTTGCAGTCCGCTCATGATCCGCGGCTGTTTACCACAAACACAACATTTACTATCCATTATTTTGATTTAAAATCCAAACGTTGTTTCTGAAAATGCTTTTTCAGCATTGTGATTCTCTTTTATCACAGTACAGTAGTGTGTACACACACTTACACACATTATAACACACACTAGGGGTGTGCGATATTGACAAAAAAAAAATCTATATTTTCTGGGATTTTATCGATAACGATAATTAGACGATATTTTGCTGAGTGTGTTATTGTGCTGGTGGTACCTTAAGGACTGCCGAAGACAGCTGACTCCTAATGTTTTTAATATTCTTCATATTCTGTGTGGTGGTCAGTTCATACTGATAGAAATTAATATTTTCCAATAAGTTTAAACTGATTTTTACCTTTTATGGGCATTTTTACCTTTATAAAGCCATTTTTTCTAAAAGTGTCCATTATCTTTTGAGTCAAATTCTTACATTTAATCAGGGAATTAGAATAATAAGACATCTGGGCTGTTACCAAGCAAATGAAATCAACACAGAAGCTGCATCTGAAGTGGCATTTAGATGTATTTACACACATGTATTTTGTTTAATGCAAGACATGAATGCATTTAACCTGCAATTACAAATGCATAAATAATGTTTTGATATATTAAACATAAAACGTCGAATACTGATATTTGAAATGATTTAAAACATGAAAAAAAAACAATTTTTTTAGTTTGTTACTCAGACGCAGGCAGTGCGCTGCATGAGACAAAAAAGTAATGTAATATAGCCAAAACAACCGCATAGCCGCTCTTTAGTGTAGATGCATGTTGATTTTATCAGACGATGCCGCGATTATGAATGAGAGTGACTCCTGGTTAACGTATTAAAAGGGGTCGTGTTTTTAGTGTGGTATTTGTTGACAATATTCATTCATCATGACAGTAAAATAGGGCATTCTAAGTCAATATACTGCAGTATTTCCTCTCAATCAGTAGAAAATATGCTTAACACCCGGTCATGCATGAAAAAAAACATACCGTCATGAAACCGGTCTAATTTTGAAAAATACCGTGATATCAATTTTTGGTCATACCGCCGCCCAGCACTAGTTCAAATCCAAACGTTGTTTCTGAAAATGCTTTTTCAGCATTGTGATTCTCTTTTATCACAGTACAGTAATACAACCTTTCATAGACATGTTCACGTTTAAACTCAGTAAAGATAACTTTGTTTTCCTACCTCCACGAGTGCCATCTATTATTGCCTTGTTTATCTAAAAGTGCACTTTTCCTTGTTTTAAATCTAGCCAAAAAGCCATGTGTTGACGATGAAACAGTAGACTTTAATTATATGCACGCGCTTCTGTTGAAATAACGACACGGTACTCAATGAAACACACGCAGACCGGAGAGAGTTTGAGCATCGGTGTATATTTACAGTCCAGAAGCAGACAATCACAACACACTTCAGAGGTCAGAGGTCAGGGGTCGTGTCCGTGGTAGAATCTGGACAGGAAGTCGGCCGGACGCTGGGCCTCGGTCTCGTGGAAGTAGCGCATGATGTGTGTCTTCTGCTTCCAGACGTTGATGGTCTCCTCCAGCTCCATCTTCCCCTGCAACACAGGAGCGCGCGCTCAGATCACAGACGCTCACGCTAGCGGACGCTGGCACGCTAACACACACCTTGATGACCAGCATGTCGATGACGCGCGGGTCGGTCACGTGCTTGTTCCTGTCGAACATCTCCCGCAGCTTCTCGTGGCCCTGCCGCGCCGTGATGTCCAGCTGGAACATGTGCACTGAAACACAGCACAGCCATGTGGACAAACACATATAGATAGATGGATATAGATAACCGCCAGTAGGTGGCAGCAAGTCACTGTTAACAAGTGAGTCACTGCGATTGAACCGAATCATTCAAACGGCTGATTCACTGAACAAATCATTCTGATGAACAGATACAGGAATAAAAAAAAACGAATCGAAACGACTCATTTGAACACGTCAAACTTCAATTCTCTTATTTCGAAAAGAACCAAATTATTTATATATATATATATATATATATATATATAGTGTTTTAAAAATACATATACGATACATTTAACTCTTGTATGAAATAAAGACGGTACAGAAACACTATTTCTACCATTTTAATAAAAAAGACTAAAAGAGTCACTGAACGAATCTATGTTATCGCATACTGTTTATACACGCGTCAAACTTCAATTCTTTTAAAAACAAAAACTGATTCGATTCACTAATGAATCATTCGCTTCAGTTCATTTAGACAGAGGAGTTTAACCAGAAACAGCGACTGTTTAGCGGTCAGACGGAGTGTTTGTGTTGGTGTGTGTGTATTATCTCGTGATTGTGTTTGTGTTGGTGTGTGTGTATTATCTCGTGATTGTGTAGTTTATGATAGTGTGTGTGTGTGTGACCTTGACTCGGTTCTCTCTCTCTCTCTGTGTGTGTGTGTTGTACCTGTGCTAGGCACCTCTCGGTACCAGGCCCGGTAGAGCTCGCGGGCCCTGCGCCTGGCTTCACTCAGGTCGCGGCTGAAGATCGGTTTAACGGCTTTAACGGCGGCGGCTCCGGAGCGAGTCGCTGCGCTGGACGCCATCGTTAAACTGCGCTGCTGCTCTCTCTGCGCATGCGCGACTCCGCTGCGCTTCAACGCCAAAGCAGCGCCGCCTCCTTCCGGCGCGGAGCGGAAGTGCGCGGTCAAAACATCCGGCACAGAGTCTGTAGCTGAAGCTTGTTTATTCATCATTTATGTGTTTGTGACTTATTTATGTGTTTCAGACTAATGTGTCGACAACATAAAAACACCAAGGCCCACCGAGGACCTCAGGATGACTTAAAACTGTTTAAAATAACATTCAGATGAGCTAAAAGAACTACAAATGAAGGTATTTCTTATTTTAATGCTCGTTTTGTTGTTGTTGTCCATGAGAAATAGGATTCTGTTTTGGAAAACCGGGATTGATTTCTTGAACTGGAAAAAATCATATCTAAAAAATAAAATATCTTTAATGGAAAACCTATGATGCCTTTGAATAGTGTTCTGGATAATGTGTGGACTTGAGTCAGAAACATCTGATCTAGACTTTGTTTATTGTTACTACCGATATAAAACCACTCAGATTATCTTAAACACATAGTACATGAACAGTCTTTAACACTCACATCAACTCGCCTCTGCTGGCTGTTAACACACAGCTGACCCCTTTCGGTTTAGTTTCAGTGGCAAACACTCAATTTACCACAACTCTGAACGTTTCACTTTTCAGCTTCGTGAAGACAAAACGTTAAAGAACAGTCACTCAAGAGTCCAGAGACCAAAGAACCCATGTTTTATTAGTCCTAGTATGATATGTTTACATAAGCATTAAACTCTAAAATTAAATATGACGACAAGAAATGCAAACATCTTTTAAAAAACATTGCTTTAATGAGCCAAAGCTCTTTGTTTTTGTGGCACAAAGGCAGTTGAACACACACAAACACACAGGAGCAGGAGGCACATATAATCAGATATTAGTTTGGCAGATGAACCCAGTGAGACTCTGATTATTCATACGTGTGTTTGTGTGTGTGTGTGTGTGTGTGTGTGTGTGTGAGTGTGTGTGAGAGAGACGTTCCAGTTCTGCTCCCAGGAGTCGAACACACATAGAGACGTGAGAAAGTGCAGAAGCGTTTGTTCCAGTGTCCCGCAGCTGATTGGGCTGAAATGAAGGCACGTGTGTGAGGCTCCGCCCCTCAGGAGGCGTGTGTGTTGTCGGTCTGCTGTCCATCGTGCAGCGCGCTCAGTGCCAGTCTCAGGTGTTCTCTCAGCGTCTCGGCCTCGCGCTCGCTGCGGCTCTTCATCACGCTCAGCTCCTCACACACCTCACGGTAGCGCTCGCACATGCTGCTCTTCTCCTGACACACACACGAGAGAAACACACGCGTTACACACGAGAAACACGCATTACACACACACACACACACGAGAGAAACACACGCGTTACACACGAGAAACACGCATTACACACACACACACACACGAGAGAAACACACGCGTTACACACGAGAAACACGCATTACACACACACACACACACGAGAGAAACACACGCGTTACACACGAGAAACACGCATTACACACACACACACACACGAGAGAAACACACGCGTTACACACGAGAAACACGCATTACACACACACACACACACGAGAGAAACACACGCGTTACACACGAGAAACACGCATTACACACACACACACACACGAGAGAAACACACGCGTTACACACGAGAAACACGCATTACACACACACACACACACGAGAGAAACACACGCGTTACACACGAGAAACACGCATTACACACACACACACACACGAGAGAAACACACGCGTTACACACGAGAAACACGCATTACACACACACACACACACGAGAGAAACACACGCGTTACACACGAGAAACACGCATTACACACACACACACACACGAGAGAAACACACGCGTTACACACGAGAAACACGCATTACACACACACGAGAGAAACACACACGTTACACACGAGAAACACGCATTACACACACACACACACACGAGAGAAACGCATGCGTTACACACGAGTAA